AAGGCATGAGCCAGGAGGGATGCTCTGTCGGAGGCCTCGAGAGCCCGGCTGAGTGGAGAGGAGGGCTTGCACAAGACTTGAGCCACCTCGGGGGCCAAGACGCCTCTGGGGAATCTCCCAGAAAGAGTCTCGCCACGTGGACTGGCCAGAGAGGCACTCCCCCCCCGTCCACCACTGCCTGCCCCCCTGCCACTCCTGCAGCCCTCCAGCCGACTTTCATAGGTCAGGGCTAGGCCTCGAGAGCCCGGCTGAGTGGAGAGGAGGGCTTGCACAAGACTTGAGCCACCTCGGGGGCCAAGACGCCTCTGGGGAATCTCCCAGAAAGAGTCTCGCCACGTGGACTGGCCAGAGAGGCACTCCCCCCCCGTCCACCACTGCCTGCCCCCCTGCCACTCCTGCAGCCCTCCAGCCGACTTTCATAGGTCAGGGCTTCTCCTTCAGCCAAGCCAACCTCCACCGCTAGGCGCAGGTGGGATGGGCTGTGGAGGCAACGCTCGCTTCCCTCCCCGCCGGGCCGGGTTCCCACGTGGCTCCCTCTCCACCATCGGGGAAGCCCCCCTGCCCTTCACCCTGTACCTTGAAGGCCATGAACTTGTGGTAGGGCTTGGGGGCCCAGGCGTAAACCTCCACCGAGTTCTTGAGCGCAATGACCAGAAATTTGATCCGCTCATACTTCACTGCAGGAAAGACGGGAAAGGAGAGGCGGTGAGGGCCAGGGCAGCCTCTCCCCAGAGAGTGACGGGCCCCATGAAAGAGGCCCCGTGGGGGCTGCTCCTCCTGCAGCCAGCGGGGATGATGGAGCTCAGGCAAGACGTGGCCCTCCAGCCATGGTCAAGCTGGAAATGCCCAGCGTTTCACACTGTTGGCATTGCTGGCTGCATTGCTGGCTCGGGGCCGCAGGGAGCTGCCAGGCAAAGAAGGCCATGTTTGCCACCACCCCCCCACAATGTCAGCCAGTCCGCTGGGGAGCCAGGAAATAAAAATTAAAGGCCCCCCTCCCCCTTCAAGCGGGATGCTTTATTTTTCCGGAGGTGGTACCGGGGTGGGGTGGGTGGGGCTGCTTCGGAGCCTGGCCTGCTCCAGCCCAGGCCTCCTCCTGCTTACCTACGCGGTAGTGAACGCAGCCTTCCATGTCCCCCACCGTGGTCCAGCCCTGTTTCTTCTCCACTTCCGGGTCGTTGTGCAAAATCTTGTTCCTTAGCCACGAGAGGTAGTAGACCCGAAGCTTGTTCCTCTTTCCTGCGGGAGAGGGAAGTGGGGTGAGCGAGGAGGAGGGCCGTGGCCGGCTGGGGAGGGTGGGAGGGAGGGATCTGGAGCCCTGAGAAAGAGGCGAGAAAGGGGGTGGGTCGGTGGAAGCCCACACCTCAGGGGCCCTGGGGTCTCAGGGGGTCTGTGGCTCATGGGTCCGGCCAGGCTCCTCTCCCCAATATGCTCTGCCCTCCGTGGACGGAGCTGTGCCACGAGGCCGCTGGAAGTGTCTCGGCAGGAAACGGACCAGCTGGGCTACCACGTGCCACACAGGCAAGGCACCCGCTCACCAGAGATGGTGGTCAGCAGGTTGAGCCCCTCCAGGACGTCCATCTGCTGGAAGCGGCGGCGGTTGATGAGGCTGTAGACCTTGCCCTGACCGCTTCGGTCCAGCAGCATCAGCCCGTTCTCTGTTCCCACCAGCAGGTTGACTCCTGTGGGCACCAAAGTGGAGACATGGAGGGGTGAGGTGGGGTGGGGGAGGCAAGCAAGGGGGTGTGTGTGCCCCCCACACACACTCAGAGAGGGGCCCTCTTCTTCCCCAAGGGGGGAAGCAGCCTCAGCCTGCCCTGCTCAGCCCGTGGCCCGCTCTCACCCCAGAGGGCGGCGCACAGAATCTCCGAGTTGAAGCGCTTCTTGTACTTGCGGATCTCGGGGGTGTCGCTGTGGGGCCGTGTGTTTGTGGGGTTGACGTTGACCACGGAGCCCTTCCGGGCTTCCAGCTGCAGCTGCTCCAGACGCCCCGGGTCAAAGGCTGGGGAGGGAGGAAAAGGGAGAGGTCACCGCGGAGCCCTGAGGCTGCCGGCCCTTCCAGAAGAAGCCAGGACCGGAGGCCTGGTGACCAGGGTCCCCCTGGAGCCTTGCCCCTCCAAGGGGGAGCGGGATTCTGGTCTGGACACAGAGAGGAGGCTGGGCGGTGGGCGCTCCGGATTCCTGTTGTTGTTGTTGTTGTTTCTGAAAGGCCCTCGAAACCCTCTCTGGCAGGCAGGAAGGCCCCTGCCACGCTCCCCCCCCGGCCCCTCCACACCACTCCACAGGGTCCTCCCTGCTCTCCGGCAAGGGCTTCCCCAGAGCCCAGCGGGGCCCCCTCACCCGTGATGGGGATGGTGTCTCCACTGCCTGGAGAGCTCTGGTAGAGGCCGAGGTCCACGAACATGGTGAAGGAGCTCTTCCCGGGTGCCTTGACCAGCCCTCGCGACTGGTACTGCAGCGGGAGGGGAGAAAGAGGAGAGAAAGCGGGGGCCGTGTCAGGGGACCCTCGGCCGCCCCCAGACGGGTCCACCGCCAGAGCCTGGCAGCGCTCCTCCCTTCCTGGCCCCCCACCCCAGGCTTTAGGAACTTCCTCTGGGCTTACATCCGTGGCAGCCTCTTTGGCAGGTGAGGAAGAGCCGTTGCTGCTTTTGGCCTCCGTGGGCGAGTGGCTGGGCTGGACCACGTCTGGCAGGTTGGTGTAGCCGTTGCTGTCACTGTGCAGGAGGCCTCGCTCCTCCTCGGGGGTCTGGAGGAGGAAAGGGGGGGGGAATCCACCATCAGGTGCTACAGGCAGTTGGGCCAACTCCGAGGCTGCCCCCTGGCTCCAAACAAGCCACACACCCCCCCCGCAGCACAGTTTGCTCTGGAAAGGACGCAGTCACCCTCCGGCCTTCTCTGAGACCAAGGCAAAAACCTACTTCTGGAAGCTTCGGAAGGCAGAACCTCCCGTTCTTCCTCTCCAGTGGATCAGAGTAACATTCACAATGGAAGAGGCTTATAAAAATGAGGCATGGCCCTTAAGGAGAGCCTGGCAGCCCCTCTAATCCTGCTTTGGAACTGGGTGTGTGTGACTGCAGGGTCCCTCTGGGCCTGAACGGCTGCTGTGTGTTGGGCGGCAGCCTCACCCTGGGGAACGGCAGGCCTGGAGGCTTCTGGCAGAGCGATTATTTTTCCCCTTGGGGGACTGAACCCCTTTCTCCTCTCTTTTCAGTGATAGTGCTGGGAGTGGAGAGCGCCAGGGCAGGTGGGGGCCGGCCACCGCTAATCCAACGGATCAAGGGGCTTCGGTCTCCTGCTCCGGTCCCTCACCGAGGGACTGAAGACACCCCGGGGCCCTCCAACCCCTCAGAGGAAGAGACCGGGATGGGGTGCCCCTGGCCCGGCAGGGAGGGAGGCTTGCTCACCCGCTGCACCAGCATGGTGCCCTCGCCGTAGGAACTCTCCGAGCCGCCACTGCCGCCACCCGCCAGGTCCTCCACGTCATGCACCACCATTGTGCTCACCGAGTCAGTATCGCCATCTCTGGAAGGAGGAACAGGTGACTGTCAGGGTGGCTCTCCCCGGCACCACCACCACCTAGCTGTGCATGCCATACAAACACACACACACACACACACACACACACACACGACAGAGGCCCAGGTGCTGGGTCCAGGTACAGAGCCACCTCGAGGACAGGCTGCAGCCGAGTATTTATTTATTTATTTATTTATTTATTTATTTATTTCATTTCATTTCATTTCATTTCATTTCATTTCATTTCATTTCATATCCTGCCTATCTAATCAATTAAGACTACTCTAGGCGGCTTACACCAGCATAAACAACACCTGCCCCGCAGACTCCACGCAGAACGCAAGGCCTCCCGCCCTTGGCGCCCCTCGCAACCGCTGTCAACTACGAGCCAGAAGATGTGGAGAGGGGGAGGGGGTGGAGGGCCAAAGAGTCGCAAGAAGATCCAATGGTAGAGATTCCATTCAAGGCAGGAAGGGACCGCCTGGCCACCTCTACTCGGGCTGAGATCCCCAGCTGGCAACCGCTGGCCACTCCAGAAGGGACATCGAGGAACAAATGGTCTCCCGCTCCCACCTGGGGAAG